TATATATATTTGTTGTTGTTGTTGTTATGTGCCATCGAGTCATACCTGACTCATAGTGACCCCTCCTTGGGTTTCTGAGGCAGTATCGCTATGGAAGTAGATTGCCCCTTCTTCCTTCTGAGGAGTGGCTGGTGGGTTTGAACTGCCAGCCTTCTGGTTAGCAGTCAAGTGCCTTAGGCACTGTGTGTATTTTTTTTCCTAAACTATTTGAGAATTTATTGCAGGCATCATCATGTACTTAAATACTTCATGCATTTCCTAAGAGTAAGGACAGTCAGATTCCCACAAAGTCACAGTACAATTATATAATCTGGGAAATGTAACACTGAAGAATTAATACTATTTAATCTAGTTCATATTCAAAATTTGCCAATTATCCCAACAATGTCTTTTAGAGCTATTTTCTCTCTTGTCCAGGATCCAATCCAGCATCACCCGCTGCATATAGTTGCCAAGTCTCTTTGGTTTCCTTGAATCTGGAACCCTCCCCAGTCTGTCTTTGCTTTCTTGAAAACTCCAGGCCAGCTATTTTGTAGGTTAGGTTTCCCAAATCCTAAAGGGCTGCCATAACAAGACATTACAAGGACAGAAATTTATTTTCTCCCAATTCTGGAGGTTAGAAGTCCAACTCAAGGTCTCAGCCATGTTTATTCCTTTTAGGGGACTTTCAAATTCTGGTGTCTGATAGTAATCCTTGATATTTCGTGGAGTTCCTCAGCATTCCTTGGAATTTCCTGGTGTTCCTTGGCATCTTTCGTCCTCTTTGAATGTGTATCTGTGCTATTCTGATCTTTTTCGTAACTCAGAAGTGTTATTAAAATAACAAAAGAAAGTCTTTTTCCAAGCAAGATCACCTCCACAGGTACAAGGCCAGATACTCAACATATTTGAGAGGAAACAGTTCAGTTCATGACGGGTATATGTAGCCTGGGCCTTGTTTGATGTCGATTCTGATTTGAGGTCTGGTAGCACCTGAGATCCTGCGAGCTTCCCAAGTCCCTGCTGATGCTGATGTTGCCAGTCCAGGGACCACACTTGGGGTGGGGAGACTGGAGAGTGTCTCTCCATCTGGGCTGGTCTGATGTTTCCTCGTTATCAGAGTTGGGTTAAACCTGAGTGATGTCCTGCCCTTCTTGGGACACAGATGGCTTTTTTCCGTGTAAAGTTGCAAGTTTCCTCTTTGTATTTAATTAGCAAGAGCCCCTGGGTGATGCAAACAGTTAAATGGTGGCCACTAACTTGAGGGGTTAACAGTTCGAATGCACCCACAGGCTTCTTGGAATAAAGGCCAGGGATCTGCTTCTGAAAGGTCACAGCCATGAACATTCTACAGACGCATTTCTGGTTTACACACACGGGGTCTCCATAAGTGGGAGGTGACTTGGCAACTGGTTAATTCATAAGGAATATGTAGAGAAATCTCAGAAAATCTTTTTTAAAGCCAACTTCTCTGAAGATTCAAAGTTAATTTCAGGTTTGCAGCGTGGGAACCAGCGAACACAAAAACAAAAGACAGGGTCAAGGTGTATACAGAGTTCAGTGGTAGGACACTCACCTTCCATGTGGGAGACCAAGGTTCGATTCCTAGACAGTGCACCTCCTGCCCAGGCACCACTCATCTGTCAGTGAAGGGTTCCAGGTTGCTGCGATGCTGACAGGTTCCAGCAGAGATTCCAGGCTTACATGGACTAGGAAGAAAGGCCTTGTAATCAACTTCCAAAAATCAGCCAATGAAAACCCTTTGGATCACAGTGGTCCTGTCCACAATCAGTCATAGGGATGGCACAAGACTGAGCGGTGTTTTGTTCTGTTATGCATGGGGCCACCATGAGTCAAGGCTGACACAGTGGCTGCTAAAAACGACAGCAACACAGTCAAAGAAGAACGCTCAATGCAGGTGCTCGGTCAGCGAACGTCTCTGGGCTGTAAAACCTGATAAACCTTTTTATTTATTTTTTTATTTATTTTTTAATGATTCTGAGTTTTATTCCACAT